TTCGATTTGGGCACCCGTGCAGTATCACAGCCCTCACACAATTTAAATGAGATCTGTGTGGCGCATATGTATTTGGTGCCTCCTTGTACCAATACCTATGTGTTAAAATAAATAAATAAATAAATGTGGAGTTGACCTTCAAAATTATATTTCTTGGCCTGTTTTTGGAGTTCGGATCTGAAATCTCCGACTTTGTGTTCACTTTATGGGACTATTTATGTAATTTATACATATCTTTAGATCCGAAATTGCTGTACGTTATATGGCTGGGAAATAACCCAATGAAATTTCCGTGAAGCGATGGAATAGGGGTATCGTTACATCTTTACCAGTGAATATGGGGAAATGAGCTGCAATTTTATACTGTTTGCTATATTTTCTAGTTATATACCGAATTTCAAATCGCTTTATGTAATCCTTAAATACTTTCTCAGTTAAATTAATGTTTATCTGTCCTGTAACTATTTTGATCACGACGCCAGTTGTAATAAGTAGCAGTACTGAATGTAATGTACGAACTGTTAATCTCCAGGCCTGTCTAATGCAACCTTAGTAGTCATGAATGGACCAGGATTCAAGTAAGAAGTTACACCGCGAATATATATTAAGGTGTTCTATTGTAGTTAGAGCTAAACGAGCAATAAAGTGCAAAGTTAGTACCAATTTCTACAAATACAACAATTTCTCTTGTTTGGGTTTTTACATTGTAGGTTTCATTTTACTTACAAAATTTGTATTCGCTTTAGATTCAGAAATTTTACTCAGTGTCCTACTGACAACTAGCTAAAAACACAGTGGTGATTTTCAAACCAAAAAAAACTAGTGAGTTAGTTTTTTTTTTAGGTGAAATCACACGTCTGTAGTAATTTAGTGAATTGAGAGTTGATTATTATTAATGATATCTATCTTCATCTGTACATTTGGTCTAGGCCTTATGTAGCTTTGAATGACTGATAAAAATAGGCTTAAACTCCACTATTATGCGAAAGCTGTATTCAAAAATGTAAGTAGCTGAAATGCTGCTCTCTGAATACTCAGCTACACGTAAATAAGCTTCGGTAGGATCTTCAAAATCTTGTTACTCTTTGCAGTACTTACACTCTTCAGAAGTACACGCATAATAGTACCGTTCAGCTCTTTGATATTTTGAACATAGAAGCTGGTTATTCATTGGCTTTGATTACTCTGTTTGTGATTAATTAAAATTGTCCATATTTTTTCTAGAGTCATGTGGGAGGTTCTATCTCGGGGTGATTTTCGGCAAATCTATTGCACAAAGGTGTCTTGTAACATTTCTTCACGCGCTTGAGTATTAAATAGTAGTCTTGTTCTTAATCTCAACTTGATATATATTTTATAATCTATTTCACTGTATTACTATTTTATCTTACTCAACACTCTACCTTGCTTTTATTCTTTTGAACGAGTCATGACTTTTTCCAAAGCATGCTTTCATATTTTTATATGCTTTCTCGACTTTCCCGTAAGAAAGTTTTTTTATCAGTACATCCTCTAATAGATCAGGTTTGTTAGCTTTATTTACTAGTTTGCATCCATGTACTACTCTCTAACATGAATGAAAACCATTCATTAAATGAAAAATTATTCGTTTCTACTCGTCTACATAATGTAAGTATCAAGACTTTCTTGATCAAAATCAGTAATCGATCAGCTACTTCAATCTTAGTGTTGGCGGTCGTAGCGATTCGTTAAAAAAGACTAGACGTAGTCAAACCAAAGTATGACATCAGTTCGTGAGCTCATCGACTATTGAATTGAGCTGTGTTCCGAAGTTCAAAATTCTTATTCTAGAGTCCGTGCGATAATCATAGTCAATAGTTAAAGACTTTAGGTGATATGGTTCATAAATGGTTTCAGTGGTGCATATATGTTGATTCTTTATTTTCTTTTGCATCTTGTGTTTTGGTTTCGTTTTATACTTGAGATCCCCAGAATGCATTCATTCTTCAATAGAATAATAAGAAGTTAAAGTATTTGCGCTATGCATTTCGAACAATCTTGTCAAGGCATTTTATATGAAGATTAATAAAGGTCAATTAAATGAAGGTTCCAGTAAACAAAATAATAATTGTATATAAAGGAGAAAAAAAGTTGATATCGCATAAAAAAATAAGAAATTGTCGTATTACCCTAGGCCATAAAATGACTTAAGGATGACTAGGGCGAATTTAAGGTTACGACAGATTGTTTCTGTACATATAAGCGGGGTTTGAGTCTACGAATAGCCAATGCTTCTATAAACCTGATAATGCGTTCTTGACAACTACCATACAACGTTTTAAAAACTGTATTGGTGTCAATTCTGCTCCCTGTTTCAATCATGTGCTTTCCTGTCAATGAACATGGTTTTATTCTTCCTACGTTGATCGAAACATTTGACTAACTGATTTTGAAGCCATCTGAACACGTGTCCCATAACCCTTGATTGTATTGTATGAGTGTGTGTCCACACGAACATGTTTAATTGAACCTTTATTTAATTGACCTTTATTAATCTTTGTATAAAATGCTTTGACAAGTATATGTGTGACCAGATTATTCGAAATGTATAACACAAATGCATCGCATTATTCAGATCAACTCCATCTTTTCATTGTTCTATCGAAATTTATAAAAAAACATTCATTCCTTTAGGTCCATATTCTTTATTTCTAGCCACTTTAACAGTCATAAATATTAATATTATATCAACCATTTTAGTATGCTTCTTGTTATTTATGTCTTTCTTTGTCGATGTTTTATGGGTTGATGTAGATGGAAAGTCCTTCGTTCTTTGCTCAACTGATTAGTTAATGACAATATCCCCAAATTTGTGATTAGGAGCGCTCCAACCACTAAACTCATGCATCGTAATATAGCTCGGTGTTGTTCACAATAGCGCATATACATTCACTCTGTATCGTTGAATTCCAGTAACCCCAAATGCCCTGGTACGGCCAGGAGTGGGGAGAGTCAGCTTTCCCTCTCCAAATGCTCTCACATGGCCACTCGTATACGAGCACTGACAGGGAAGTCCTACTCACTACCTTCTCGCTGTAGAGATGTTGCTTACGAAACTGAGAGGACACAAAAGCGAGTATCCGGTGCATTGACTGGGTTCGTGGATATGGGGGATCCACATAGGGGAGTTGGCAAACCCTCATTTCAAACCAATGATGTAAATGGGCTCCAGGATCACAAGGAAACGAATGGTGTATGAACGAATTTCCGGTCACTGGCTACCATGGGACTACATCTAAATTGGCCCCGTTGCCTTGTGAATTCCACCTTCAGGTTCGGGATGTGGCCTCCAAAGAAGACCACATGCTTCGGTTTGGGTACCCGGGCAGTATCATAGCCCTCACAAAAATCAATGATAACTGCCACTGGCTTCATTATTATTGTGTAGCACATATGCATTTGGTGCCCCCTTGTACCAATGCTTATGTATTCAAATAAAATAAATTGGATTCTAGTATCCATATATATCTTTTCATTCTGTCTTTCCAAACCATGTTCCTAATGTTTAATATTTATTGCCATTATTGCTACTACAGTATTTTGATCGCTTTTGTTGTTCTCATCTTGTCGTGCTAATCAGGTATGGGGACTTAGGCCAACAGATATCTGTGCCAGTCTCTATGTTGATGATGCTTGTTCATCATCATTAACCTTTAAGAATTTAGATACTTTTCATCCAAAATTCGATTACACTTGCGATGAAACCTACTGCAACTGGTGTTAGTAATTTCCACTCTAGTTTTTAAGAAACATTTATAAACCTTTAGTAGTTAACACAACCGAGTTAGTGGGTACTGAGGATCCACCTAGGGTAGTTGGAAAATCCTGGTCCCTAACCAACTATGCACATAGACTCCGGAGTTTTCAGGGTACAAATGGTATATGAACCTATTTTCGATCACCAGCTGCCATGGGATCCCACCTAACGTTGTTCCACTGCTTTGCGGATTAAACCTTTAGGTCAAAAGTTTAAGGAGTGGCTCCCTAAGAAAACCACCTGCTTCATTGTGAACAGCTGAACAATATCCTATCTCACGCACAAACTTAATGATGGTTACAACTGGAAAAATATTCTCGCTCCAAGTAACCTTCTCGCAAACCGTATTCACAATTATTTGGTAACATTGATTTTTATTTTACATTGAGTCACTTGTCTATTCTTCTTTATTCCAATTTTGTGTATTTTTTACTTTTCAATTCATACAGCAGCTCATCCATAGTGGAAATCCTGTCATAAAAAATAATCATATCTACACTTAATGCAACCATTTTTGAACCATATCATCTAAAGTCTTCAATTATCAACCATGATTGTCGCACAGTATTTGAATTACAAAATCTGATAGTATTTCAGAAGTGAAAGCGAACTTTCATCATTCTCTGCCACGCCGGTACATTAGTAAACATTAAAAGTAATACAAAGGTTTTTTATGAGAATTAAATTATTAGATTTTAACTGTGAAGTTTTATATATCTTGACTGCCTTCTCATAGAGGGAGTGTTGTTTACAAAAATGAGAGGACGAAAAGCGAATGTCTGGCGCTATAACCGGATCCAAAACCAATGGTGCACATGGGCTGGCTCCAGTATCCTGAAGGAACAAATGGCGTATGAACCAATTTCTTGGTCACCGGCTGGCTACCATGAGACTGCATCTCCTTACGATGCTCCACTGTCTTGTGGATCAGGTCTTTAGGTCAAAGGCTCGGGGTGTGGTCCCCTGAGAAAACCACCTACTTCGGTTTGGGCACCCGTGCAGTATCACAGCCCCCCCACAATTTAAATGAGATCTGTGTGGCGCATATGTATTTGGTGCCACCTTGTACTAATATCTATGTGTTAAAATCAATAAATAAATAACACTAGAAATCAATGAAAGTCAGGTTAGCTTATATTGTCTTTTAAGAATCCTTCGTTTTTTTTTTTTTTGATACCGATACCTATCATTTGATTTAAAACGTTTTTTGATTCTAGATAAAATGCTCTCTTCAAACAATCTTATTGATGATAAATGTCCTATGTGTAGTATCAATATGCAAACATGGAATATAGAACGTAAAAATTTGCATAAAAATACTTGTTGTGAAACATTTGTAAGTTTATCCTGGATTCTTCCTATTCAATGTATATGATACTCATTTAATTATAGATTATGTATTGTCATCGTTGTCCTGCATGTCATAAACAGATTGCTGGTAAAGTAAGTTTCATTCTCTTCTCTTCTTTTTTTTTCTTTTTTTTTTGAATTAAAAACAAATTATGAATGGATGTAATTTCTTTTGTCATATTCCAATGATTAGTATCAGAAGGAGTATTGTGGAGATTGTAGTAATTTCAATAATTGAGATCATGAGTCAATTAAAACTAGATCACTATGGAAAACCTGGAAACACTGGACAGCCGTTTCGTCCTATTGTGGGACTCCTCAGCAGTGCTCATCCACGATCTCGGCCCGTCCAGTGCTTCCAGGTTTTCTATGATGGTCTAGCTTCAATGGACTTGTGATCTCAACTATTGAAATTACTATAATATTCACAAAACCTCTTCTGGTGCTAATCAACATATGCTCACTAGTGACTAGTTTCATGAGGTATTTCTTGAAGTTCTAGTGAGAAGCAGTGACTGGTGAAGTTCAACCGGGTCACTTGTGAGATAGTAACTCACCGAGGACAATGGTGGAGGTGTCGCTCAATTTCGTGGATTAGTTGAAGTTAGACATTAACACCGTTGGATGCCGGCTCAGTGGTCTAGATTTTAAGCGCCCGAGCGCTAGACCGATAAGTCCTGTGTTCGAATCGCTCGGGGGGCGGGCTCATGGATGTGCACCGCTGAAGAGTCCCGCAATAGAACGAAACGGCTGTTCAGTGCTACCAGGTTTTCCATGGCTGTCTAGCTTCAATTGACTCATGATCTCAACTATTGAAATATCCCAATGAGTAGAAAAATTGTATTTCTGACATTTCGTAACTTAATGTGAATCACTTCTTCAGAGTAAATAAATAACCGAATTAAATTAACACAAGTTCAAATAGTATTATTTATTTTTATTCATTTACTCTGAAGAAGTGGCTTACATAAAGTCACGAAACATCAGAAATACGATTTTTCTGCTCATTGCGATATGAAAAAACGAATTATTGTTTCAACGTTTAACCCAACGGTCAATTTATTTAAAATTATCAAGTTCAATCTTGTCATTGATGATAAAAAACGTATTGTTAGTGGTATTATTACTGTTCCTAAGGATTGTGATCATCGTGATCCCTTATATAGGGCTTTGTTCGCATATTGGTGTATCCATACTGATGTTCTGATGTGTGCTACTTATATAGACATAAGTAGTATATTCACTTGATATTGTTTTATTTGAATCTTCCCATTGATGTTTAGGACTGAAATTGTTCAGTCTCTTATTGGCATATGTGCATACTGTGCGTATGCCTCGATATTGCTTTAATTTACAAGCATTATAAGCAAAGATGGCCCCCTAAGTAGCTAAGTGGATAACGCGATGGCGTTTGAAGCGGACGGTACTGGATTCGAGTCCCGGAGTGAACATCAACTCTGAGATTCAGGTACACCCAGCTGACGAGTCCCAAATAGGACGAAACGCGTGTCCTGGATTCCACTGCTAGCCACTATCCATCTTTGCTTATAAGTAGTATATGATGTTAATTGTGAACAGAATATCTGGCATCATAGAGAGACAAGAAGATCGAACAGTAAAGAATGAAAACAGAAACGCAATTGATATGAAAATGCATAAACAATGAAATCTGAGACAATGGATTGATATTTGCAACAGGAACAGTCCAATTTGATATGATGGATTGATATTTTACAAATTAATGATTTACCATATGATTCGTAGATTATAGTGAGATGCTCTGTAATTATTATGTGCCTAAATACACTTGATTGTCCCTATTGGTGTTCTTGTTCACTACAATGTAAGTGATCTAATCTGTATATATATATTATTGGAAGTAATCAAGCTACTTTTCCTGCTATTCATTTCTAGACATCTCGAACACATTTAAAACGATGTGCCTCAAAATTAAACATGGATTTATTTAGTCTCATGTCATTATCATGTCGTGATCATCGTTTTATCAGGTAAATTATTGTATTTTAAAGATGTTATTCATTAATAATACCATAAATTACTTTTCTTCTTCTTCTTAACATTCTCTCAATATTTTTCTTAAAATGTATTGTCCAAATAATTTGTACGTTAAACGGTAAGGAATCAGGAGGCAGTTGTGATTGTATATGTCTTGTTTTTCATCGGAAAAAATAGGTTGACGGTTGTCGTGAGCATTTTATATGCTTTTAGTCCACGGTTCCTATTCAAACTATTAATTCACTTGAAAAGTTTTATTTTTTGATATATTACTGTCATAGACAATTGTAAATATAGTTTGATGTTAGCCAATTTCTCTGCCCCGAAATACCCTGTTACGTCCGAAAGTGGGGTGAGTCCGCTCTCCCTCTCGAAATCCTCTCACATAGACACGCTTATATAGCATCTGCCAGGGAAGTCATACTCACTGCCTTCTCGTGGCGGAGTTGTTGTTTGCGAAATTGAGAGGACGAAGAGCGAATGTCCGGCGATTTAACCGAATCACAAATCAATGGTGCACATGGACTGGCTCCAGTATCCTATGAGAAAAAATGGCGTATGAACCAATTGTTGGTCACCGGCTGGCTACCATGGGACTGCATCTCCTCACGATGCTCCACTGCCTTGTGGATCAGATCTTCAGGTCAAAGGCTCGGGGTGTGGTCCCCTGAAAAAACCACCTACTTCGGTTTGGGCACCCGTGCAGTATCACAGCCCTCACACATATCAAATGAGATTTGTGTGGCTCATATGTATTTGGTGCTTCCTTGTACCAAATAAAATAAATAGCCAAATTCTCTACATTATCGATTTACAGTGGTGTTTTGAAATTCAATATTTAAGCGATCTGAATTTGCATAATCTAAATTTAAAACCATAATAGCTGATCTATCATTGTTTGCTCAGTCACTCAGTTAAACACTTACTCATTAGTAGCGTATTATCTGACACAAATTTTCAATTGGACCAAATCGTCACGTTTCATACCGTCACATTGGGAACAAACAAGTTAAGACTACAATATCAGTGATTGTAGAGAAGTGAACACGGAGAATCTAGTTTTAAGAGTAACAAGTTAAGATATTTGTTTTAGTCCGGATGATTTCGAGTCATATCATTTAAATATCCCAAGTGTAGATTCTGATCATCTTAAAGACTAACAAATGAAAAGATACGTCTCCTAAAACAACTCAGTTCAACAGTCTATAACTTCATGAATTAGTGGCATATCTTGGTCTATCCACCCCTAGCATTTATCCGCCTTACTCTTATGATAGGTAGTATTAAAGTTTAAGGTATAGTGTATCTAAGAGTTTCATGAGTCAATTGAAGCTAGACCATCATGGAAAACTCAGAAGCACTGGATGGCCATTTCGTCCTATTGTAGGACTCCTCAGCAGCGCGTATCCACGATCCCGCCTCGCGAGATTCAAACTCAGGACCTATCAGTCTCGCGTTTGAACGCTTAACCTCTAGAATACTGAGCTGGCATCCAATGGTGTTAATGTTATGTTGTTTTATATTCTATGTTCAACAGCTATAAAGTAATCCAGAGTAAACTTCTTTACAGTATATTCACCCTTTGAGTGCTGTTAGAGGTATGAGGGCGGTTATCACTTCCCGGTTTCCCACACCGTGGAAGGGTTTTATTGGAGGTACCTGAAAAGGAAATTGGATTAGCGGTGGTCATAGTGACCTGAGAGCGTGACCGCACTGCCCAAGGGACAACTGCTTGAGGTCGGTCACACACGACCTTTTTATGAGTAGTTTTTGTGTTAGCTCCGTACTTGGTGAGTCCTTACCGCCGGAGACGGATATCCGTGGGATAAGGCGAGGTGTGCATTTTTAGGGTCAACCTTTTCTAACTGCACCCCTCCCGGTGGTGAGGCACCATCGCTGTTATACTGGTTGTCTGAACGAAACACCTTACTTCTGTCACACCTCTGTACAGTCAGCAGTACGACTTCGCCTTAGGACCTTGGATTTGTTGCTTTTAGTCTTGCCGTTCTTCAACCGAACTGTCTGGTATGGTAGGACCTTGAGGAACGGTTGTTCCAGCCAATATAGCTCGATTGGTTCATCATGATAGGCAAGCCCGACCACCACGTTAAGGTAGCAACAACGGTCGGGTTCACCGTTTGATTGATATTCAGACATTAGTGTTGTTCTGTAACAACAAGATAACTGATTTTTATCATGAATATCTTCATAACACATCACTTTCTGTATATAGTTTACTTAGGAGAGATTGGATGGGGTCAATGATTTTACTAAAATGTTCTCAAATAAATTATTCTACTAAGTATTTTGTAAGTAGTTTATAACTTTCATTGTATTTTTCAGGCATGAAAATGAAGATTTACATACAGCTTGTGCATTATCTTTATCTTTAGATAAAGAAATAAAACAACGAAAATCTGAAGCAATTTTAGCTGAAAAAATTGATCCTATCCATTTAGATTCACCATCTCATCTACTTTTATCGAGTGAAAAACGTGAGAGAATATTTGCTGAAAAATTGGAATCAATTCTTCTTGAGGTAATTCACTTGATTCTAACTAATCTAACTGTCTGAAATTGATGAATATGATTCATAAACATTTCAAAAAAACAATTCGTCAAATAAAGGTGGGATGATACTATTGTAAAGAAAAATCGTATCATTGATTAATTGGTAAATGAAAACAGCACTTGTGGGGTAGTTCACTTAAAATTAAAGAGTTTGACAGAAAACTGTATTTTGTTCAAACAAATATTAGTATAGATAAGCAACAAAATAAATATCTTTCACATATACTGATGAATGTTTAACCTTCCTTATACCTATGAAGACATCATGGGACTACATGGACTGGGAGAGAGAAACGAAAACGGGGAAAGATTTGCAAATCTGTGTGCATTCAATAAATTGGTCATAGGCGGTACAACATTTCCACACAAACGTATACACAAAGCTACGTGGATCTCACCGGACCACACCACAGAGAACCAGATAGATCACATTTGCATCAATAAAAAGTTCCGAAGGACAATGGAAGATGTGAAAACCAGGAGAGGAGCGGACATAGCTTCAGATCATCACCTAGTTGTGGCCAAATTGAAACTGTAGCTAAAGAAGAACTGGACAACTGGACAAACAGCACCACAAAGGTTCAATACAGCCTTCCTTCGAGATACTGACAAACTCAATGAATTCAAGGTAGCTCTCAACAACAGGTTCCAAGCCTTACAGGATCTACTGAAGGAAGAAGAAACTACTATGGAGGATAGCTGGAAAGGTATCAAAGAAACATTAACTTCAACGTGTCAAGAGGTTCTGGGCCCCAAGAAGCATCATCACAAGGAATGGATCTTTATAGAAACACTGGACAGGATCAAAGAAAGAAAGAACAAGAAGACAGCAATTAACAACAGTCGAACAAGAGCAGAGAAAGTCCAAGCACAAGCAGAGTACATAGAAGCAAACAAGAAAGTGAAGAAGAGCATTAGAGCTGATAAGCAAAAATACGTGGAAGAACTAGCAACGACGGCGGAAAAAGCTGCAAGAGAAGGAAATATGAGACAGCTTTACGATACGACGAAGAAGCTTGCAGGGAAATACAGTAAACCAGAGAGACCAGTCAAAGACAAAGAAGGAAGACCAATCACTGAGATTCAACAACAGCGGAACAGATGGGCAGAGTACTTCGAGGAATTCCTGAACAGGCCGGCTCCAATGAATCCACCGGACATCGAAGCAGCACACACAGATCTTCCTATAAATGTCAATCCACCAACGACAGAAGAAATCAGAATGGCCGTCAGACAAATCAAGAGCGGGAAAGCAGCAGGACCTGACAATATACCAGCTGAAGCGTTGAAGTCAGACATCGAAGTAACTACAAGCATGCTTCATCTTCTATTCAAGAAGATTTGGGAGGAGGAACAAGTGCCGATGGATTGGAAAGAAGGACACCTCATCAAGATTCCAAAGAAAGGAGATCTGAGCAAGTGTGAAAACTACAGAGGCATTACACTACTGTCAATACCGGGTAAAGTCTTCAACAGTGTTACTGAACAGGATGAAATACGCAGTTGACGCTCAACTTCGAGATCAACAAGCTGTATTCCGTAAGGACCGGTCGTGCACAGACCAGATTGCGACACTACGGATCATCGTCGAACAATCAATTGAGTGGAACTCGTCACTCTACATCAACTTCATTGATTATGAGAAGGCATTTGACAGTGTAGATAGGAGGACGTTATGGAAACTTCTTCGACACTACGGAGTTCCTGAGAAGATTGTCAACATTATCCGGAACTCATACGATGGACTACAGTGCAAAGTAGTGCATGGAGGACAACTGACAGACGCATTCCAAGTAAGGACCGGAGTAAGACAAGGTTGTCTACTCTCTCCCTTCCTGTTTCTTCTGGTGGTCGACTGGATTATGAAGACCTCGACATCTGAGGGAAACTACGGCATACGATGGGCAGCTCAGAACCAATTAGACGACTTGGACTTCGCAGATGACCTAGCCCTCCTTTCACATACACACCAACAAATGCAGATAAAGACAGCCAGCATAGCAGCAGTCTCTGCATCAATAGGCCTCAACATACACAAAGGGAAAACCAAGGTCCTCAAAGACAACACGGAGAACAGCAATCCAATCACTCTTGATGGCGAAACTCTGGAAGACGTGGAATCCTTCACATACCTGGGAAGCATCGTCGATAAACAAGGAGGTTCAGATGCAGACGTCAAGGCGAGGATTGGCAAAGCTAGAGCGGCATTCCTTCAACTGAAGAACATATGGAACTCAAAACAACCATCTGTCAACCAATATCAAAGTCAGAATCTTGGAGAACTACAACAACCACCATCAAGAAGGTACAGGTATTTATTAATAGCTGTCTACGCATGATACTCAACATCCATTGGCCGGATACCATCAGCAACAGCCTTTTGTGGGAGAGAACTAACCAGCTTCCAGCTGAAGAGGAAATTAGGAAAAGACGATGGAAATGGATAGGACATACATTGAGGAAATGATCAAACTACATCACGAGGCAAGCGCTAACTTGGAATCCTGAAAGGAAGTGGAAAAAGAGGAAGGCCAAAGAATACATTACGTCAGGAAATAGAAGTAGATATGAAAAAGATGAATAACAACTGGAAAAAGCTGGAAAGGATTGCTTAGGACAGGATTGGATGTAGAATGCTGGTGAGCGGCCTATGCTCCTTCACGAGGAGTAACAGGCGTAGGTAAGTAAGTAAGTGATTATAACAAAGACGTGAATGATAATATTGAGTTATAATTATACAATATCACGAATTCGATAGAGTCGAGAGTGGGGTGTGGCCCCCTATGAAAACCACCTAATTCTAAAATCCATGTACTAGAAAGTAATATCTCTTCAACTTTTCCTTGTATCTAATGTTTATCTAGCTAAGGTTAGTTCATGTTGTAATAAACTCTTACTTCAACCTATCCGTTTATTCATGGGATAACATAGATCACTTTAAAAGTTATTTCGATTCTATGTAGTTTAGTTTTATCTTAAAATTGATATTAACTTAAACTAATTAATTTATTAAATACAGATTGATCTACTTTACTTTAGATCTCACATCTTTTATACATGTAGGAGAATTAATGGTCAAACTAATATAGTTGAGACAGAGTTCGAACCTATTACCTAATGATTTTTTAATTACTTAAGCCTGTTACTCCTCGTGAAGGAGCATAGGCCACTCAGCAGAATTCTTCATTCAACCCTGTCCTGCGCAATCCTTTCCAACTCTTTCCAGTTCTTATTCATCCTTTTTATATCTGATTCTATTTCCCGACATAATGTGTTCTTTGGCCTTCCTCTTTTCTGCTTCCCTTCAGGATTCCAAGTTAGCAGTTGTTTTGTGATTCAGTTTGATGATATGCGTAATGTATGTCCTATCGATTTCCATCATCTTTTCCTAGTTTCCTCTTCAGCTGGAAGCTGGTCTGTTCTCTCTCACAGTAGGCTGTTGCTGATGGTATCCGGTCAATGGATGTTGAGTATCTTGCGTAGACAACTATTGATAAATACTTGTACCTTCTTTATGGTGTTTGTTGTAGTTCTCCAAGTTTCAGCTCCATATAGTAGAACTTCCTTGACGTTGATATTGAATATTGTGACTTTGATATTGGTTGACAGATGGTTGTTTTGAGTTCCATATGTTTTTCAATTGAAGGAAAGTCGCCCTTGCTTTGCCAGTGCTCATCTTTACGTCTGCATCTGAACCTCCTTGTTCATCGAAGATGCTTCCCAGGTATGTGAAGGATTCTACATTTTCCAGAGTTTCGCCATCGAGGGTGATTGGATTGCTGTTCTCTGTGTTGTATTTGAGTACCTTGGTTTTCCTCTTGTATATGTTGATGCCTACTGATGCAGAGACTGCTGCTATGCTGGCTGTCTTTATCTGCATTTGTTGGTGTGTATGGGATAGGAGGGCTAGGTCATCTGTGAATTCCAAATCATCTAATTGGTTCTGAGCTGTCTATTGTATGCCGTGTTTTCCCTCAGATGTCGAGGTCTTCATAATCCAATCAACCACCAGAAGAAAGAGAAAGGAAGAGAGTAGACAACCTTGTCTGACTCAGGTCTTTACTTGAAATCCATCTGTCAGCTGTCCTTCATGTACTACTTTGCACTGTAGTCCGTCGATTACCTAATGATTAACTTATCGAATAGATTAATAACTATTAAAAAAAACTACCTTTGAATAATTCTTTAAGTATCAGCATAAGAGTTGTTGAGATTATTAAGTTTTTGATTAAGATCATGAACTGATTGATGTTAGATCACCATTAGAAACCTGGTAGCACTAGACGGCTGTGCATATCCACGATCCCGCACTGCAAACGAGTCCCAAAATAGAACAAAACAGACGTCCTGTACTTCCAGATTTCTAACGGTAATCTAACATCAATCAGTTCATGATCTCAATTAAACATTCTCTAGGTATATTTTATTTAGATATCATATTAGTTAGTTAATATTCACACTTATTTGTATACTTTTATTCTTGTTTATTATATCATAATAGGTGAAAAGAATTAACAAACATGATAAAAAATACGGTAATAATGATAACAATAGTAATTCAATTGTTCAGTCTAATCTATGGAATTTAGCATCGACAAAACTTCATGATATTGGTAATTAACGTTCATATTATTATTATTATTATTATTATTATTATTATTATTATTATTATTATTGAATTCACATTGATATTGTGAGATGCAAGTACCTCCAACTGACGAGTCCCAAATAGGACGAAATGCGCGTCAAACTGGATTCCATTGCTAGCTACTATCTATGATTGCTTATAATGCTTGTAAATTAAAGCAATAGCGAGGTAATAATTTATTTATTTATTTTAACACATAGATTTTAGTACTAGGAGGCAACAAATACATATGCGTCACACAAATCTTATTTGATATGTGTGTGGGCTATGATACTGCACGGGTGCCCGAACCGAAGTAGGTGGTTTTCTTAGAGGACCAAACCCCGAGCCTTTGACCCAAAGGTTTGACACACAAGGTAGTGGAGCATCGTAAGGAGATGAAGTCTCAGGGTAGCCGATGACCAACGATTGGTTCATACGCCATTTGTTCTCATAGGATACTGGAGCCAGCCCATGTGCACGATTGATTTGTGATTCGGTTAAAGTACCGGACATTCGCTCTTAGTCCTCTCAATTTCGCAAACAACAACTCCGCCACGAGAAGTCAGTGAGTAGGACTTTCCTGGCAGAGGCTATATCCGCGTGGCCATGTGAGAGGATTTCGAGAGGGAGAGCGGACTCTCCCCACTCTCGGCCGTACCAGGGCATTTGGGGGCGTTGATATTCACTCTGAGACTCGAACTCAGTACCATTCACTTCAAATGCTATCGTATGATCAATTTCAATCTTAAACATCAATGGAATAATTCAAACAAAACAATACTAAAATAAAGTTTATAAGATAGTGTTAAGAGTTACTATATTGTTCAATAGTCTTTCCATAGCAACAATATTATCATTATTATTATTGTTATTGTTTTTTTCAATCTTTTAGATAATATTATACAAATATATTATGTTAATAATTTGATTCCACCTTTAAGTCCTACATTAAATCCATTAAATTCTAATATTATTTCAATGTCACAAATACCTGGTCGTGTTTCAATACATAAAAATATAAAATATAAATCTAACGTAACTGTCATAGATGAATATAAAGAGAATCATAATGATTATTACTATGATAATGTTTTAAAAAAGGTAAACAAATAATTGAAATTATGTTTAATTGTTATCTTTATGTGTTTATGTTTTTTAAAGTGTTGTTTTAATGTTTATTATAAATGACCTCTAAATGCTCTGGTACGGTCGAGAGTAGGGTGGGCCCACTCACCCTCTCGAAATATTCTCACATGGCCACGCGTATATAGCCTCTGCCAGGGAAGTCCTACTCACTGCCTTCTCGTGGCATTCCTGTTGTTTACGACAATGAGAGGACGAAAAGCGAATGTCCGGCGCTATAACCGGATCCAAAACCAATGGTGCACATGGGCTAGCTCCAGTATCCTGAAGGAACAAATAGCGTATGAACCAATCGTTGGTCACCGGCTACCATGGGACTGCATCTCCTTACGATGCTCCACTGCCTTGTGGGTCAGACGTTCACATCGAAGGCTCGGGGTGTGGCCCCCTAAGAAAACCACCTGCTTCGGTTTGGGCACCCGGGCAGTATCACAGCCCACACACAAATAAAACTTGGTCTGGCGCATATATATTTGGTGCCCACTTGTACCAATATTTATGTGTTCAAATAAATAAATCTTCATAAAAGATAGCAGTCAAATTCAAGATTGGAGTTTTATCCGGTTTTTGATACATCCGCTAGATTTACCTGCAAATCAGTATTAATATCCACAATAATATTCGAATCTAAAAGTCAGATGTTCGGATAACAAGCACTTTTACTGTGTACTAATAAGAAAACAGAATGGATTATTAATACATGTTGTTTATAGATAGCTATTTCGCTAAACAACTTACAAGGTATTTTAAGCTTCCAATTATTAATTGAATTCAGTTAGATAACCATAAGGAACCAAGAAGTATTGAATAGCTATTTCATTTTCTAGCACAGGACTTTCCACAACAATGAGAACTCATGATACCGTCAGACATTCAATCCAAACGGTTCATGATAAGTCTTGAGATTTTGAACACTATACTCGATTCCTAAGCTATTCTTGAAGACCCCCAAGCTAGAACTATACAGCGACCTGAACACGAGAGAGAAGGCGCAAAGTATGCGAAAAGTACTTTACTTCAAGGTTCCATTTTTGTACAGAAAAACATGGGTATTTATAGATGTTAACATTTGTTGAATCAACATCATATTTTGGCCAATCCGCTAAAAGACATATTATGCTACTGACCAATAGTAGCACGCCACGTTGGCATTCTAGAAAGCTCCATCGTGCTCTGATTGACTAAGACTCTTTGGCTCCTACCGGGCCTCCGGAGGCTCTGTTGCAGTTCTCGGAAAGCCGACTTAACACCTCCCCCCTTTCAAAAAAATAAGACCTCTCCTTCGGGTCTACTTGCAGCTTGATAACTGGTTTTCTGCTATTTTCGGACTTTCTTGGTATCTCGCGTCTATGATTGTCTTTTGGGGTTCCTGTCACTGGAGTATCTGTAATTATATCTAGCGGAAGCCTCACTTGACTATCAACCGTGTCTAGAGTCCTTTTCTCTCTGCGTATTTCACTAATGTGTTTAATACATATTCCGAAAGTCCCACGCACTTTGTATAAAACATTCCCCATTCTCTTCTCAATGACTACCGGTTCCCAACGATTTTTCCCAGTGTATGATTTGACGAGCACTTTATCACTGACATTAAAACTGCGGATATTATGATTTTGTTTGCGTCCATCCATTTGTTTAGGTGGTAACGTGACGTCGAATGTAGTTCGGATGCTTCTGCCGAACATCGCTTCAGCAGGGGATTTTTGTTCTGGGGCTTGATTGGATAGAAAAGTTGAAGTTAACAGACCGCCACATAGACTCGATCTGCAACAACGTCAGTAAGTCGAAATTTGAGAAGGACACATTCAAAAGAGCACTACTGAAAGGGGAAGGAGAGGGGACAAGTCAGCCTAACCCTATTGTCCCAGAAGGAAAATCACCTGCTGAAGCGATGTTCGGCAGAAGCATCCGAACTACATTCGACGTCACGTTACCACCTAAACAAATGGATGGACGCAAACAAAATCATAATATCCGCAGTTTTAATGTCAGTGATAAAGTGCTCGTCAAATCATACACTGGGAAAAATCGTTGGGAACCGGTAGTCATTGAGAAGAGAATGGGGAATGTTTTATACAAAGTGCGTGGGACTTTCGGAATATGTATTAAACACATTAGTGAAATACGCAGAGAGAAAAGGACTCTAGACACGGTTGATAGTCAAGTGAGGCTTCCGCTAGATATAATTACAGATACTCCAGTGACAGGAACCCCAAAAGACAATCATAGACGCGAGATACCAAGAAAGTCCGAAAATAGCAGAAAACCAGTTATCAAGCTGCAAGTAGACCCGAAGGAGAGGTCTTATTTTTTTGAAAGGGGGGAGGTGTTAAGTCGGCTTTCCGAGAACTGCAACAGAGCCTCCGGAGGCCCGGTAGGAGCCAAAGAGTCTTAGTCAATCAGAGCACGATGGAGCTTTCTAGAATGCCAACGTGGCGTGCTACTATTGGTCAGTAGCATAATATGTCTTTTAGCGGATTGGCCAAAATATGATGTTGATTCAACAAATGTTAACATCTATAAATACCCATGTTTTTCTGTACAAAAATGGAACCTTGAAGTAAAGTACTTTTCGCATACTTTGCGCCTTCTCTCTCGTGTTCAGGTCGCTGTATAGTTCTAGCTTGGGGGTCTTCAAGAATAGCTTAGGAATCGAGTATAGTGTTCAAAATCTCAAGACTTATCATGAACCGTTTGGATTGAATGTCTGACGGTATCATGAGTTCTCATTGTTGTGGAAAGTCCTGTGCTAGAAAATGAAATAGCTATTCAATACTTCTTGGTTCCTTATGGTTATCTAACTGAATTCAATTAATAATTGGAAGCTTAAAATACCTTGTAAGTTGTTTAGCGAAATAGCTATCTATAAACAACATGTATTAATAATCCATTCTGTTTTCTTATTAGTACACAGTAAAAGTGCTTGTTATCCGAACATCTGACTTTTAGATTCGAATATTATTGTGGATATTAATACTGATTTGCAGGTAAATCTAGCGGATGTATCAAAAACCGGATAAAACTCCAATCTTGAATTTGACTGCTATCTTTTATGAAGATTTATTTATTTGAACACATAAATATTGGTACAAGTGGGCACCAAATATATATGCGCCAGACCAAGTTTTATTTGTGTGTGGGCTGTGATACTGCTCGGGTGCCCAAACCGAATGAGGTGGTTTTCTTAGAGGACCAAACCCCGAGCCTTTGACCCAAAGGTCTGACCCACAAGGCAGTGGAGCATCGTGAGGAGATGCGGTCCCATGGTAACCGGTGACCAACGATTGGTTCATACGCCATTTGTTCTCATAGGATACTGGAGCCAGCCCATATGCACCATTGATTTGCGATCCGGTTAAAGTACCGGACATTCGCTTTTCATCCACACATTTTCGTAAACAACAGTAATGCCACGAGAAGGCAGTGAGTAGGACTTCCCTGACAGAGGCTGTATCCGCGTGGCCATGTGAGAGGATTTCGAGAGGTAGAACGGACTCTCCCCACTTTCGGCCATACCAGGGCATTTGGGAGCAAAGTGTAATAATGCGAAATTTTACGATGTTACTCACTCTGAGAGAGCTAAATGTTTTCACGCTAAATGTCCTTATTTTATTTCCTTCTCATATTCAATTAGGAATGTGAACAATTATCTCCCAAACAATCTATTAAACCTGAAGATAAGTGTGACACTTCAGAATTATCACCAATATCCTCCAATACTTTTTCTAAATGTTCATCATATGTGACTAATGTAAGTTGTTGTTTTTCTTTGGATACTATTTTAATAATACATTGTTTGAATTTCTATTCTTAGGCAAATAACCTGTTGGTGGGTACAGAAGATCATCCACCTAGGGGAATTGGAAAACACTGATTTCAAACGAATTGTCCACATAGGCTCCAGGATCCTTAGGGTACAAACGGTATATGATATAACGAATGTTTAAAATATCTTTTTTCATTCTCACATATATTAAGATAATTCACTAATAGATTAATAAGACGAATTAAGTCTTAACAGAATTAGGATTCACGACCCAAAATAGAGATTTCTAGATAATAGTTTATTCAATACAGTTACAAGCAGTCACATACAGTGAGTCCAGTGTAAAAATCAATGATATGAACTATTAAATACGAGAATATTCCATTCCAGTAGTGTGATTTGGTAGAGTTCAACACTCTCACCTCTCCTTACTAAATTTACCATCGATGACGTTCTGGAAATAGCTTTAATGGAAGTAGGGTAATGGTGGTGTAGGTCTATTGCCTAGAAAAATGCTATTCACACTTTGTTTTGTTGATAGTATCCTGTTACTTTGTGATGATACTGAAGTTATGCAAAATGCATTTAATTAGTTGACAATCAGTGTCTGTATGCCATGTGCTTTGCATCTTCTAAGTGGATTTTTCACTTAGAAGACTGTGAGAAGTTTGTTCCTGCTCTTAATCTTGGTAGTGAGCATTTAGGAGTAGTTGAGAAGTTCGTATATCTGGGTAGTGGTGTGACTGGAGAGATCAACCTATGTTTAGTGAAAGTCAGAAAAGCTTATACCAATCTGGTTATGAAAGGTTGGGTTAATAACATGAAGGTCAAAACTGGTTTGTTCTATGCTCATGAAACTTGTTCTTTCCGAGTTAAAGATGTCCGGCTATTCTCTTTATTCGATCACAGACGACATTCAGTGGTTATACCATGTTAATAATTTGGAGGTTCAGCAGTGTGTTACGACATAGTGGCGATAATTTAATTGGTATCACAATTTTGAAATATCAACTTCACTGGTTTCGACATGTAATACAATGTTGTTTCTAGGGAATTCCACGTCTTGCATTTTTTGTTCGACTCATTGTGGTTGAAAAAGGCTGTGAAGCGATCAACTTCTGATATAATGCCTTGGTATCCGTCGGTCCTTCACAACTCCACGGAGACAGTACAGCACAGTGGTTTGAAACGCTATTAGACATGGTTCGGAATAGAAGTCAATGGCAGTCATGCTGTGATTGTAGTCAATTATGCAATATTATATTAAAGATTTTTATTTCAAGCTTTTGTGTGTTGTTTCAACCCAAACAAAATTTATTTCCATCAAGGAAATGTTTCGAGATATCCTTTTTTTTATTACTATTAGGGATGTTACCACCTAATAAAGATACCTTACTTCATATATTATTATCATAATCATTTCATACTATATACGCATGACCATGTGAGAGCATTTCGAGAGGGAGAGCGGACTCTCCCCACTCTCGGCCGTACCAGGGCATTTGGGGGCAAGTACTGACCGGGCCCAACGTTGCTTTACTGCGGTGATCGGACGAGAACCGGTGCTTTCAACGTGGTATGGTCGCCTCTGCCAGGGAAGTCCTACTCACTGCCTTCTCGTGGCGGGGGTGTTGTTTACGAAATTGAGAGGACGAAAAGCCAATGTCCGGCGCTATAACCGGATCCCGAATCAATGGTGCACATGGGCTCCAGTATCCTGCGGAACAAATGGCGTATGAACCAATCGTTGGTCACCGGCTACCATGGGACTGCATCTCCTTACGATGCTCCATTGCCTTGTGGATCAGACCTTTAGGTCGAAGGCTCCGGGTGTGGTATCCTAAGAAAACCACCTGCTTCGGTTTGGGCACCCGTACAGTATCACAACCCTCACACATATCAAATTTTGTGGCGCATATGTATTTGGTACGTCCTTGTACCAATATCTGTGTTAAAATAAATAAATAAATAAATACATTTCATACTAGTTAAATATTTTAAGTAGTATAAGTTTAAGCAACACATATCTGAAACTTCACATAACTTTGGTAAGATAATTATTGAAAGCTAGGAGTCATTGGATATCAGGTTTACCCTGATAAGGGGATTCCCAGCAATACAAATTTATAACCAGTGGTAATGATCATGTACTTCATACCATTGATTTAACTGTCAAACCTGAAAGTTCTTCCAGGTTTTCCATAGTGGTCTAGCTTCAATTGACTCATGATCTCAACTATTGAAATTACTATAATATCCACAAAATCCCCTTCTGATACTGATCAGTATATCTTCACTAGTGACTGGTTTCAAGAGGTATATCCTGGAGTTCTAGTGAGAAGCTGTGATCAGTGGAGTTCAATGGGGTTAGTTATGAGATAGTAACTCATTGATGATAATGGTGGAGGTGTCGCTCAACTTCGTGGATTAGTTGAAATTAGACATTAACACCGTTGGATGCCGGTTCAATGGTCTAGTTGGTTAAGCGCTTGCGCACGAGACTGATACGACCTGAGTCCGAATCCCGCTGAGGGGGGGGAGGGATCGTGGATACGCACTGCTCTATAATACTTCCTAATTTATAATGATTGATTTCATTTCAGATTCATTCTAATCCATTACTATCAATGGTTGGGAATAATTTATGCTCAGATTTATGTATAATTTTGGATGAAGGTGATATAATTCCAGCGCATAAATTTATATTTGCTGCTTGGAATTTAAATATTGATTATTCACAGGTAGGATTTTTGATGTAATTATTGTTTGTTTACTTTCACTCACACTATATTAATTACAAGTGGGTAATATTAATGAAGGATGCTGGTGGTGGTGGTGTGGCCTATGTTCCTCCATGAGGAGGGTAACAGGCGTAAGTTCATGTTCAGTTAGATTGCTTATTGATTAGTCGGTATTTCTATTGTAATGAAGGAGAACACAGGTGAGGACAACCGAATTGTATTTAGCTCAAAATTACAGAGTTAATTGGTAAATTAGAAAAACCATATAGTAAATCGTTTATTTGCAAATTATCAATCCATCATATCAAACTGGGCTGTTCCTGTTGCAAACATCAATCCATTGTCTGACATTCTTTGTTCATGCGTTTTCATACACATTGCATTGTGTTCCCACTCTTCCTTTCTTGATCTTCCCCCATCTTTTGTTGCCAGACATTACGTTTTTAACTCGCGTCATTTACTACTTATATCAGTATAAGTAGCGCACACCACACTCGTCCCCCCTTTTAATAAGCTGTCGTCGTAGTCTTTCTGATCGCCGTACCGCTGTCTTCTTTGGCGCTATTCGTGACTCACATACTTGATGACCTTAAAACGATCTCTGCAGTTGATTAGCATTTACGCGCTTCTGATTGTCTTCTCTCCTCATTGTGTAAACTGCGCCAATCAGGGGAGGGGAAGGGTGCTGTTCTGTGGACGCCGTTGCGGGCCAGGAGCTGATGTGCAGGTTGGGGCAGTCTGGTGCGGAGAGGTGGCGTCTGGTGGAGTGTTACGGAGGGGCGGCGTTGTCTGTAGCGGGTGCTGTCGAAGGAGAGGAGCTGTGGGACATGTGGCTGCTGGGCGGAAATCGGATGTAGATGGCTCAGTGGGCCGATGAAGCGCGGGTGTCAAACGTCCCAGGTGCCGGGTGGATGTCGGATGTTGATTCCCCGGCAGGTCGACGGAGCTATGGAGGTCAGCGCGCAGCAGACTCGACATTTTGACGGAGGGAGTAGCACAGACTGCAGAAAAAAAGAATGTTGCACGGCAAGCATGCACCACCGCAAGAACGACTGTTTTAAAGAGGGGACGATTGTGGTGTGTACTACTTATGTAGACATAAGTAGTATATGATGTTAGTCGTGAACAGAATGTCTGGCAGCAAAAAGACAAGAAGACCGAACAGTAAAGAATGAAGACAGCATGCAATTTATATGAAAATGCAAGAACAAAGAAAGTTTGAGTCATTTTAAGACAATTGATGGACAGCTTGTAAATTGAGCATTTACTATATGGTTGTTAGATTTTACTAACTAGTTCTGTCATTTATTGTCAAATACATTCGATTGTTCCCATTGGTGTTCTTGTTCACTATACTATTACTATTATCCAATGCTTAAAATTGATTATGTGATCATTATCATTGTTTTATTAGTCAATATCCATACAGAATGTTTTTGGTTATATTAGATTATTTAAGTTAAATAATTTGATTGTGAAGCTTTCATCGTCATTCAATGACAGTAACATCATCATTTCCTGTTGAGAGTTTTGTTCTTGTCACTAGTCAGTTCGTTCAGATGCTTGTAATAGTATACTTTTTGGAGATAGAAGTGTAGTGAAATAAAATACCAGTGGGGACAATCCAATGTATTTAACAACCAATTACAGAACTAGTTAATAAAATTAAACAACCATATATTGAATCGTTAATTTGCAAATTGTTCATCAATTGTCTCAAATCATTCAGAATTCCCTTGTTCTTGCATTTTCATACAAATTGCCTTTTGTCTTCATTCTTTGTTGTTCGATCTTCTCGTCTCTCTGGTGCCAGACATTCTGTTCAGTGCTCACGTCATATACTACTTGTGTCTACATAAGTAGCACACACCACAGAAGTAATTTGAATTCAAGAATGCAATTTTCCGATTTTTAAGCAAAATTCAAATCCTATGCATAAGGAACAATAAAATTTCTTTTGTACATTGTTTACAACGCTTTAAATAATTGTGAAAATTTGTATTTTCCTGTTATCAAATGCAAGCTGACACTATTGATAAATTCGAACCCTAACCTGTTAATTCTGAAACAAATTTATTTATTATTTTGACACATAAGTATAGGTACAGGGAGGCACCAAATACATATGCGCCACACAAATCTCAATTGATTTGTGTGAGGGCTGTGATACTGCACGGGTGCCTAAACCGAAGCAGGTGGTTTTCTTAGGGGGCCACACCCCGAGCCTTTGACCTGAACGTCTGACCCACAAGGCAGTGGAGCATCGTGAGGAGATGCAGTCCCATGGTAGCCGGTGACCAACGATTGGTTCATACGCCATTTGTTCTCGCAGGATACTGGAGCCCATGTGCACCATTGGTTTTGGGTCCGGTTAAAGCGCCAGACATTCGCTTTTCGTCCTCTCATTTTTGTAAACAACACCTCCGCCACGAGAAGGCAGTGAGTAGGACTTCCCTGGCAGGGGCTATATACGCATGGCCATGTGAGAGCATTTGGAGAGGGAGAGCGGACTCTTCCTACTCTCGGCCATACCAGGGCATCTGGGGGCATAGGGTTGAAACAAAACACCCTCATGACACTACATTTTATGAATAAACTAATCAGATAGAGCCTCTTATAATTTTTGATGAAATTCATTCATCTATATTATTGTAAAGAATTTTTATCTTATATCTTATATAGATTCACGATAATAACCCCAACTGTAACTAAGAGCAATATAAGTATTCTAGGCAATCTGTTTGGGTCCTTCCAATAGTTTGAAGGTCTGTACAATCAATATTCATTAGAACAAGTTTATAAACCGTTGTTTTTTTAAAATTTGAAGTCTGAGTAGCCTAAAGGAGATATCAATCAATTTATTTATTGCGTAAAATCGTTCCGCCCCCAAATGCCCTGGTACGGCCGAGAGTGGGGAGAGTCCGCTCTCCCTCTCCAAATGCTCTCACATGGCCATGCGTATATAGCCTCTACCAGGGAAGTCCTACTCACTGCCTTCACGTGGCATTCCTGTTGTTTACGAAAATGAAAGGACGAAAAGCGAATGTCCGGCGCTATAACCGGATCCCAAATCAACGGTGCACATGGGCTCCAGTATCCTGCGGAACAAATGGCGTATGAACCAATCGTTGGTCACCGGTTACCATGGGACTGCATCTTCTTACGATGTTCCACTGCCTTATGTGTCATACCTTTGGGTCAGAGGCTCAGGGTTAGGCTCCCTAAGAAAACCACCTCATTCGGTCTGAGCACCCGAGCAGTATCATAGGCCACACACAAACAGAATGAAATGCTGTGGCGCATATATATTTGGTGCTTTCTTGTACCAATATTTATATGTTACAATAAAATAATGAAATAAAAAAATCGGTCCACACTTTTTAATATTATCGTTTTATTTGCTATAGGCTATCTCAATAGTTGAAATCATGAGTCAGTTGAAGCCAGACCACCATGGAAAAGCTGGAAGCACTGGACGGCCGTTTCATCCTATTGTGGGACACTTCAGCAGTGCGCATCCATCCGACATTGATAGGTCCTGGGTTCGAATGTCGGGGGGATCGTTGATGCTCACTGCTGAGGAGTCTCATACTTGGACGAAACGGCCGTCAGACAGTGCTTCCAGCTTTTCCATGGTTGTCTAGCTTCAATTGACTCATGATTTCAACTATTGGATTTACTAAATTCTCCACAAAACCCCTTTTGGTATGATATATTATATTGGTTAGGGTTAAAACTCTTAACCATATAGATTTGATTGATTGATTATGTTGAAAATGGACTTCATATTTTAAGCTTACTGATTACCATCTTTTCTATCGGTCGTCTGATTAGTTTAGATTCCATCTTTTGAAGAGTTACCAATGATTATTTATCCACATAAATGTTATGTTTATATGTTATATTAAGGATTAAATGCCTATACAGACTATTTTCATCAATAACTGATATCAGTGATGGGATTATAATTTATGGACGACCTTTGAGTGACGTCAAACTGACCTTGACAGTGTCTACCTACTTACTAGATCTAAATGAGGGTTATAAAGCAGTTTAAAGAATAAGGATTATGATTTACAGTTGATAGTTAGCGTTAGAAATTGCATTTAAGGTTTTCATCACGAACTAACATCAGTTATAATGCCAAGGCTCTAATTAGCCAAATGGGTAAATGAATTCCATGCTGAAATCCAAGATCTTTTATCGTAAATTTGATTGGTTCGTCCATAAATTATAGTCTCAGCAGTATCAGTTTATGAATTATTGAAACACAGAGAATATTACAAAGAAAAAGGACTTTTAAATTTAATATTTCGTCGGTTATAAACTATCTCACTGGACCATGTATTTGTAAATGATTCTATCCAGCCTACCTAACCGATGGAATGAACTTGAAAAAGCTTCATATATCATCATAGAATCATTCCATTGAGCTAAATGATTTCATTAGTCACTAAACAATTTATTTTATTCATTTATTTGAACACATAAATATTGGTACAAGGGGTAAACAGATACATATGCGCCACACCATTTCATTCTGTTTGTGTGTAGGCTGTGATACTGAACGGGTGCCCAGACCGATGCAGGTAGTTTTCTCAGGGAGCCTAACCCTGAGCCTTCGACCTGAAGATCTGATCCACAAGGCAGTGGAGCATCGTGAGGAGATGCAGTCCCATGGTAGCCGATGACTAACGATTGGTTCATACACCACTTGTTCCTTCAGGATACTGGAGCCAGCCCATGTGCACCATTGGTTTGGGACATTCGCTTTTCGTCCTCTCAATTTCGTAAACAACAGTAATGCTACGAGAACGCAGTGAGTTGGACTTTTCTGGTAGAGACTGTATACGCATGGCCATGTGAGAGCATTTCGAGAGGGTGAGCGAACCCACCCCATTCTCGGCCGTACCAGGGCATTTGAAGGCCATTAAACCATTAATTTGTATACTTTATTAGGTGAATGATTTTAATTTAATTTTGAGTTGTTGACTCCCTTTTTTTTTCTCTCTCTCTCTATTATCTTCTTTATAGTGTGATATCATTGAAATTCATAATGTATCCAAAGGTGAACTTATTAATCTTTTACAAATATTATACAATGGAGATCGATCAAAACTTACAATTGAATATATTCATCATTCATCAGAAGCATTACAAAACATAATGAGAAAGTAAGTAGTAACAATATATCAGTAATATATACATATGTATATATCACAAACTCTAGTTTTATATTGTGAATAACTGAAGCTTTCAAAATAGAATACAGATAAAAGTGATACATCTCTTTGTATCATTGACTATTAAAGTATGAATTGAAGGATGAATATCTTTTTTTATCTACATGTTGCATAATCGGTGACATAATTCAACCTATTTAGAACTTTTCCAAACCATACTGGTAGATGCTACAAAATGTGATGAATAATCAACGTACACAAACAAACTACGTATCTAGCTCCATATGAGGAGGTAAACTGGTACACTGGTATAAAATTGATTGGTCTTGGAAACTTATCTTAGACATGTGCACATATAGAAGTATGTTTATAGTGGTTTATACAAAGACTTACTGCATTCAATGTCGCTGTGATCGATCTATGTAGATATCTATTCAGTATGTCATGAGCAATATCACCCTCAAATTAAAGATGTGAAAACAGGGATCTCTTTCAAACAGTGGATTTGCTTTGTGATGGTTGTTTGTCTTTTATATACTACTAGCTAACTGACTAAATGCCATATATATATTCCATTTTAACTATAATTTTTGTATACAGCCTCTGCCAGGGAGGTCCTTCTCACTACCTTCTCGTGGCATTCCTGTTGTTTACGAAAATGAGAGGACGAAAAGCGAATGTCTGGCCCTGTAACCGGATCTTAAACCAATAGTGAACATGGGCTGGCTCCAGTATCCTATGAGAACAAATGGCGTATGAACCAATTGTTGGTCACCGGCTACCATGGGAATGTATCTCCTCACGATGTTCCACTGCCTTGTGTGTCAGACCTTTAGGTCGAAGGCTCGGGTTGTGGCCCCCTAAGAAAACCACCTAATTCAGTTTGGGCACCCGTTCAGTATCACAACCCACACACAAACAGAATGAAATGGTGTGGCGCATATGTATTTGGTGCTTTCTTGTACCAATATTTATGTGTTCAAATAAAATAATAAATAAATAAAATAAAGCATCCACTGTGGATGCCGGCTCAGTGGTCTAATGGTTAAGCACTCGCGCGCGAGACTGATAGGTCCTGGGCTCGGATCTCACAGGGGGCGTGGTCATGGATGTGCACTGCCGAGGAGCCCTATACTGGGACGAAACAGCTGTCTAGTGCTTCCAGGTTTTCCATGGTGGTCTAGTTTCAATCGACTCATGATTTCAACTATTGAAATTACTAAAATCTCCACAAAGCCCCTTGTGATTTATTTTAGTATTTGATGCTTGCATTCCTATCCTAACGGACTTCAGTACTTCATAGTCTCTCAGTAATATTGACAAATATTTTAGAATTTTTCAAAATTCTATAGTTATCCATTGATACATCAATAGATCTGAAGTTGTGTAATGAAATGAATCTTCATGATTGATTGATCACTAGGTGGAGACCAATATCATGCGTGTCTAGTCGAATGCTATCAATCATGTTGCAATGTGACCACCAGTCTAAGTGACTCGACACTGCGGGCACTATTGTGAGATTAGATGGTGGTTGGAGGTAGTCGACAGAAAACTCTGGACCCGGGTTTCGTGCTACTTGGCACTTGTCAGCAAGGTGTACCTATAATCTTGAGGGAATTTGTGCTCCCTGGCGGAGTCAATCCCGTGTTACCCAGTTTCACTGTCAGATTCGTTACCACTGAGCTATCCGGGCCGCCGCCGACCTCCTGTAGTTCTGAGATGTAATCACAATTAATTGATCACTAGGTGGTGACCAATGTCTTCCAAATTTCTCAACATTTAAAGGGTGAGTAACACCCGAGTGTTGAGTAACCAGTAAAATAATTAATGTTATCATCATTTAGACTTAAAACATATGATTATTGATCATTTAGATTATCTATGATCTATTAAAAACTTACGTAATATTTTCAGTTATTAATTTTCTGGTTAGCGTTTTTTTAGCGAGTTAGTTTTCTACGGGATTGTGTCGCTAATCTCATGCCCAACCCTACTCCTTTATCCGGGCTTGGGACTGGCAGTAGCCCCCCGAAAGGGACTCCAGGCAGAGTTATTTTCTGTTATATACATAACATATATGATTATATCATTTCTATTTGTATATATATATGTTCTATTTTAAGCTGGGGTTTGAATAGTGTAAATTCTGAACTCAACATCGTTCAAACGGAAGATTGTTGCCTAACACATTCAACTGATATATCAACAGATTCCAAAATGGTTGATGATTTATCTCATCCTATTCCTTCTGTTATCTCAATACAAACATCATCAACTTCAAATGAAATAGCACATCTCAATAACTCTTCATTATATATAGATTGTTTAAATCATAATCTTAATCCTATTACAACTACGGATTATAACTATACAAATTCCATATCTAACTCTGTTGATTCCACTATTCTCCCAATGACAACTCAATCATCATCATCATCATTAATATCAGTTAATAGTCCTATGATTCAATTCAAGTTATACACCTCTAATCCAGCTCAATTTAGTCGTGATTTATTTTTATACTCTGATAATGATGATAGTATCCATGAGAATATCGATAATATTAATATAGAAACTTATCATCATTCTAATCAAATAGAATCTTTACAATCTATGAATGATAGTAACCATCATGGTACATTGAAAACAATAACAAAAGTAAGTCTATTTTACTGATTATGTAACTGATTAATATCATTATAGTTTATGTTGATATTTTATTCATCCAGGTAATTTTCTAGTCATATGTAAAGTATTACTTTTCTGATATGTGATAAATCTATTGTGAAAGAATTTACTTACTTACTTACTTAGGCCTGTTACTCCTTGTGAAGGAGCATAGGCCACTAGCCACCAGCATTCTCCATCCCATCTTGTCCTGGGCAATCCTTTCCAGTTCTTATTCATCTTTTTCATATCCGCTTCTATTTCCCGACATAATGTGTTCTTTGGCCTTCCTCTTTTCCGTTTCCCTTCAGGATTCCAACTTAGCAGTTGCTTTGTGATTCAGTTTGATGATATGCGTAATGTATGTCCTATCGATTTCCATCGTCTTTCCCCAGTTTCCTCTTCAGCTGGAAGCTGGTCTGTTCTCTCCCACAGTAGGCTGTTACTGATGGTATCCGGCCAAAGGATGTTGAGTATCTTGCGTAAACAGCTATTGATAAATACTTGTACCTACTTTATGGTGTTTGTTGTAGTTCTCGAAGTTTCAGCTCCATACAGTAGAACTGCCTTGACGTTGATATTGAATATTGTGACTTTGATATTGGTTGACAGATGGTTGTTTTGAGTTCCATATGTTCTTCAATTGAAGGAAAGTCGCCCTTGCTTTGCCAGTGCTCATCTTTACGTCTGCATCTGAACCTCCTTGTTCATCGAAGATGCTTCCCAGGTATGTGAAGGATTCTACATCTTCCAGAGTTTCGCCATCGTGAGTGATTGGATTGCTGTTCTCTGTGTTGTATTTGAGGACCTTGGTTTTCCTCTTGTATATGTTGATGCCTACTGATGCAGAGACTGCTGCTATGCTGGCTGTCTTTATCTGCATTTGTTGGTGTGTATGGGATAGGAGGGCTAGGTCATCTGTGAATTCCAAATCGTCTAATTGGTTCTGAGCTGTCTATTGTATGCCGTGTTTTCCCTCAGATGTCGAGGTGTTCATAATCCAGTGGAAGTATTTAGATGACATTTAAATTAGTCATGTTTTAACAAATCACATAATTTCTAGCCAGAATTCTAACCAGTTTAAGTTCATCAGTTGAAATTGTTAAGGATTTGCCAAATATACATTGTTCTATGATTTTCGCCGATTTTCTTACTTAATTACTTACTTACACCTGTTACTCCCAATGGAGCATGGGACGCCGACCAGCATTCTCCAATTCTCTCTGTCTTGGATCCTTCTTTCTAGTTTAATATAATTATTGTTCATTCTTCTCATGTCTGTCTCCATTTCTCGGCGTAATATGTCCTTTGGTCTTCCTCTTCTCCTTTGACCTTGAGGATTCTATGTAAGGACTTGTCTTGTGACTCAGTTGTGTGCTTTCCTCAATGTGTGTCCTATCCACTTTCAGATCTTCTTCCTGATTTCTTCCTGCACTGGAATCTGGTTTGTTCTCTCCCATAGTAGGTTGTTGCTGATAGTGTCCGGTCAACGGATCCGAAGTACTTTTCATAGACAACTGTTAATAAACACTTGTATCTTCTGGATAATGGCTTTTGTAGTTCTCCAGGTTTCTGCCTCATACAGTACAATAGTCTTGATATTGTTATTGAAATTTCTGACTTTGGTGTTAGTTGGTAGACAGTTGTTTTGAGTTCCAGATGTTGTTCAGTTGTAAGTATGCTGCTCTTGCTTTGCCGATTCGCAGTTTCACATCTGCATCAGATTCATCGTGTTTAACAATGATGCTGTCGAGATATGCAAAGGTTTTTACATCTTTTAAAGCTTCTCCGTCAATTGTGTTTGGATTGTTGCATGCTGTGTTGTGTCGGAGAATCTTGCTTTTTCCTTTGTGTATATTGAGGCTGCTGAGGCGGCTGCTACACTGGTCGTCTTCTCCTGCATCTGTTGTTTCGTGTGCGATAGAAGAGCCAGATCATCTGCGAATTCTAGATCGTCCAGCTGCATCCTAGATGTCCACTGTATCCCGTGCTTCCCGTCGGATGTTGACCCTTCATGATCCAGTCGATCACCAATATGGTACGTGGTAAAACGTATTGACTAATACGCGTTTGAGCTAAAGCATGATATGTGTCCAAACATGTGCACCAAAATGAGCGACAATCTTCTATCGAGCCTATCGAACGATGGCTGATGGCATTATGATCTATCTGAGTTCCTCCTTTGAGGGGTCGCCATGTCAAGGGACGTTTTTTATGCTTTAAGTTGGTGCTTGTTAGAAATAGGAGATTGTCTACACGCAGTTGTAGCAGATGGTTCGATTATTTGTTTGCTGGGCTACGACACCGTATGATCCACGCAAGTGCCTTTCGGTTTGGATTATCCAACCTACTTGGTCATTAAAACCTTTTTGCACTTTACTACATCCGAGCGTTTTGATTTTTAAGTGGAGGGTGAAAAGCTTTTTATGAAATTTTTCATTGACTTCATGTGAGCTGCAATCTGTGGGAACGTAGGCTGAGGCAACGGCGTTTATCCTTGTCTTACTATCCCTTTTAATCGAAGAGGGAATAAGCTACTAGCTATCCAAGAGTTGTTCAACAGGATTGACCAGAATCGGTCGCAGTGGCTCAGTTGTATTCACTTCTTGTATTTTCTTAATTCTTAAATTTTCAATTGACATGCCTTTCTACTTCACAAATTTATTATTTTCTTTCAAGTTATTTTATTTGCGTTTAATGTCGTCGTCGCCGTCGATGTCTACCGTAGATTTTGTTACTCCTCCTACCACTATGATATTTGTCTTCATCATTTAATCTCATTCTTCAGATGCCTGGAAACATGAGCCTGATTATTGCTAACTGATTGTGCAAACCGATTTTCAGGCACACAAATACACTTGACACTTTAATTTTGAAGGAGAACAAAAGGTTTCTAAATGACTTTAATACTTGGAAAATGATAAAATCTTTGTCATATTTGATCAGTCAAATTAAAAGTAAGAAGTATGATGAACTAGTTCTTAGATCTCCTGAAACTTTTCTAAAAATCTTGCAACTTTGAAATCAAAAGTAATTGATTTGAAATAAAGTTGAGAACTGTATATGTTTTCTAGAGGTTTTCCACTGTTGATTCTGTTGTGATGATCCAGAAAAATTTCTTGTAAAAGACAAGCAAAGATCAGGAAAACACTGCCCCCAAATGCCCTGGTACGGCCGAGAATGGAGAGAGTCCGTTCTCCCTCTCCAAATGCTCTCATATGGCCACGCGTATACAGCCCCTGCCAGGGAAGTCCTACTCACTGCCTTCTCGTGGCGGGGGTGTTGTTTACAAAAATGAGAGGACGAAAAGCGAATGCCAGGCGGTATAACCGGATCCCAAATCAATGGTGCACATGGGCTCCAGTATCCTGCGTGAACGAAAGGCGTATGAACCAATCGTTGGTCACCGGCTACCATGGGACTGCATCTCCTCACGATGCTCCACTGCCTTGTGGATCAGACGTTCAGGTCGAAGGCTCGGGGTGTGGCCCCCTAAGAAAACCACCTACTTCGGTTTGGGCACCCGGGTAGTATCACAGCCCTCACACATATCAAATGAGATCTGTGTGGCGCATATGTATTTGGTGCCTTCTTGTACCGATATTTATGTGTTAAAATAAAA